TACTTTCGATGTATTTGAAACTTGAAAGTATAATAATAATAATTTTTAAAAATATTTTTATTTAAAAATATATTAAAATAATATTTTTTTAATTTTTTAAATAATTTTTTTAATTAACACATTAAATTAAAAAAATGTAAAAATATTAAAAAAATAATTTAAAATAAATAATAAAATAAAATAAAAATTAATTTAAAAAAAAAAATAGAATTGAAACATATGACTGTCAATAGTAAACATGGACAAATTGCAACAGCAATAATTGATTCCATCAATTCTCAACTCTACAAAAGGCTACTCCTTCAGAACCCTTTTGCATCAAAGCTCAGTAAAAACCTTCAATTAAACAGTTCAAAAATGGCAACTGAATTTTCTGCAAAATCTGCATTTCTCCTCCTTGGCATACTGCTAAATCTGGCTTTCAAAACAAAAGCTGGAAGCATAGTGATTTATTGGGGCCAAGACGGGAGGGAAGGCACACTCACAAGTACATGTGCGTCACGAAAATATGGTATTGTAAACATAGCCTTCCTCTCGATTTTTGGCAATGGCCAAAAACCTCAAATCAACTTAGCTGGTCACTGTGACCCGTCCTCAAATGGTTGCCAAAAAGTGACCAACGACATCCGTAATTGCCAAAACCAGGGAGTCAAAGTTATGCTTTCCATTGGTGGTGGAACTAGCGGCTACACCTTAACCTCTGATGCTGAAGCTAGGGGTGTAGCAGAATATTTATGGAACAACTTCCTCGGTGGACGTTCAAATTCAAGGCCGCTAGGTGATGCCATTTTGGATGGCATAGATTTTGACATAGAGGGTGGAGAACTTCACTATGTAGCTCTTGCCACTAGATTGTCCGAGCTCAGCAGAGGAGGCAGGAAAGTGTACTTAACCGCGGCACCGCAGTGTCCTTTCCCTGATGAATGGCTCGATGATGCACTTGCCACAGGACTTTTTGACTATGTGTACATCCAATTTTACAACAATCGACCATGCGAGTATAACACCAATAACCCTAAGAAATTTAAGGATTCATGGAACCAATGGACGTCATCTGTTCCAGCCCAGAAGTTCTTCGTGGGGCTTCCAGCTTCTCAACAGGCGGCTGCGGGCAGTGGTTATGTGGGAGCCAATATACTCAAATCGCAAGTGTTGCCTTTTGTCAAGGGTTCTTCCAAGTATGGAGGTGTCATGCTTTGGAACAAGTACCACGATGATCGAAATGGATATAGCTCCCAAATAAGGGACAGTGTTTAATTTCGAAGAGCAGATCCTTGCACGTTATGACACCTAAAATCAAAGAGCAATGCCTGAGTTTCCTCTTTAGGGGAGTCCTTAATACTCTTTTTTTTTTTTAGTATGAAATAAAACGTTGCTCATTACTCTTTGTTATAAAAATGAACGAAAAGTAAGCTTTATTAGTTATACATTTAGTCCATAGCTCCTAGCCGACTACTACTATTTCTTGAGTTGAGAATTGCCCTATTTTTTTTATTCATCATACGCCATTCTAATTCCTACTTGTCATTGTTGTTAAAAGCGTGCGTTCACACGACTTTCTAATAAGCTCTATATGCTATAGATTATAGTTTACGCCCCCACCCCCAAAACGTGCACAAGGGCTGGTGAATACAAAGCACAATTACAAACAAGCTCATCAAAAAGCCCAAATAAAAACAAACTCTTAAGATAACCCAACAAAACATACTAGTCCAGACGAAGAAAAGATTTCTTCGAGGCCTCCAGCACAGTTTTATCACACCCACCTTGGACAGAGTCAGTATGTAACCACTTAAGCCCAATATAATATAAGGGGCCTGGGCTTATATACATCATTTAGGCTAAATAAAAACTCATCAGCGGGCGCCAACTTTATTTTTTTCACGCCGGCCCAGACAAAAGCAACTCCAACTCCAAATCAACGTAACATCAAATTAACTATTTTAAACCATCGAATGAAAAGCCTTATACAATAGTTTAGACTTCAGAGTTTTAAAATAAAAATAACATCACCAATATTTAGTGTTCACGCAGGGGATTCAAGGTGTAAAAACTCCCTCAACACACGTCAGCAAGAAATTCTAGCATTCAATACCCAAGAACACGCTTACAGACGTCAATATGCTTGACTTGGGTTCAATGAAAGCGTGTTCTGATCGACGACTGTGTATGAATTAGCTGTACAGAACTTTGCTTATTTGCCCGCATCATTCTTCAGCGCATGCGACAGTGAATGGTAGCAACGTAGAAATAGCAACAGAAATTTAATAATTCATAAATAGGTTGCTCTATAATACTTTACTTGCATCAAACTCGGTGAAAAGGTCAATTTGTTAAAGAATGAGTCCCAGATTTTCTGCAAAATGTGCAATTCTCTTCCTTGCAACACTTCTTGCTTTGGCTTTTAAAGCAAAAGCTGGAAGCATAGTGGTTTACTGGGGCCAAGATGCGAGGGAAGGCACGCTCACAGATACATGTGCCTCAGGGAAATATGGCATCGTGAACATCGCCTTTCTCTCAGTTTTTGGCAATGGCAAAAAACCTCAGGTCAACTTAGCCGGTCACTGTGACCCATCCTCAAATGGCTGCCAAAGAGTAAGCAGAGGCATCCATAACTGCCAAAACCAAGGCATTAAAGTTATGCTTTCCATTGGTGGTGGATCCGGTGGCTACACGTTAACTTCACCTGATGAAGCTAGGGGTGTAGCAGAATATTTATGGAACAACTTCCTTAGTGGAAACGCAAATTCAAGGCCACTAGGCGATGCCATTTTGGACGGCATAGATTTTGACATAGAGGGTGGAGAACGTTACTATGTAGTTCTTGCTTCTAGATTGTCCGAGCTCAGCCGAGGAGGCAGGAAAGTGTACTTGACAGCTGCACCGCAGTGTCCTTTTCCCGACAATTGGCTTGATAAGGCACTTCACACGGGACTTTTCGATTATGTATGGATCCAATTTTACAACAACCCTCAGTGTGAGTATAACACTAACAATCCTCAGAGCTTTATGGACTCATGGAACAAATGGACATCTTCTATTCCGGCCAGGAAGTTTTTTGTGGGGCTTCCGGCTTCTAGGGCGGCTGCTGGCAGTGGTTTTGTGACAACTAATGCGCTCAAATCGCAAGTGCTACCTTTTGTCCAAGGTTCCCCCAAGTATGGCGGTGTCATGCTCTGGAACAAGTATAGTGATGATCAAAGTGGATACAGTTCCAGGATCAGGGATAGTGTTTGAGCTTCTTGAAAGGCGTTCCAAGTATGATATCATCATCATTAAGCCAAAATCAAAGAGCAGCGTCCTTGTAATCCTAATAAGTTGCCTCCTTAGAGTTGATTAATATCGTGAAATAAAACGCTGCTCCTTCCTACTTTTATTGCAAAACGATAGGCAGTTTATACACACACGCAATAAGATTTCGAGTTTTGAACCTGAGACTTTATATCTTTACTCAAATCCTTGCCTCCTATGCGCTAATTCTTGTAGATTTATTAATGGGTTAGTAATTCCTTAATTGCTATTGCTATGTCAATACCAAAAAAACATCTCTAGTGCTCTTTCTAGGGTTCAAACTCAGACTATTTTTTTTTAAAAAAAAAGAAAATTGTTTACTATTTTTTAATGATATAGGTCTTTTCTAACTAATTTTCTTGAAAATTAATATCTAAAATTGCCTACTGAATAATAAAAATTACATAGCCAAATAAAGTGGAATCTCACATAAGAATTAATTTATCAATGTATACCATGTTCATCATTGATGTATGAGTAAAAGATAGTAAAGCTAACTTATTTAATAATTTTTTTCTAATTAAATTTCTTAAAATCAATAAAGAATAAAGGTAATTTAGATTTGCCTGAGTTTCAAGTTTAAAAAGATTTTTACTTAAAGGAATTTAGTCTAAAATTTTCTAAGAATGATAAATAAAAAACTTAGTGTTTATTTAAGGATAAAATTAGTTTATTTAAGAATTTAAAGATAAGTTAAAGAATTATTCTATTATATAAAGATAAATTGAGATATTTAACCCTTAAAAATTATAAAACAACCTGTAAATATTGAAAATTTTGAGAAAGTCTTGTCTTGCAAACTTATTTTATTACCTATAAACATATTTATATTTAAAAGGCTTATGGACATGATTTTTTTTTTAGATTTTACAAGTTAATATTTTTTCTCGTTCTCTAGGTTTTCATGTTTTGTGGACTTTTATGGGTTTTTTCAATATTTGTTTTTTAAACTAATGTTAGATTTTCAATTTGTTTTTTAAAAGAGCATACGAAAGAAGAGCTCCAAAAAATGAAAGTGATTGATCAATCATGTCTGTGATGCAAAACTAAGAAATAAAATAGAAGGCACCAATGAAAAGAAAATAAAAAGAACAAGAAAAAGCAAAAGAAAAGTATATTCTAAAAAGAAAAAAGAACAAGAAATGTTTTCACTCTAAAGAAAAAGAAAAGAAAAGAAAAGAAAAAACAAAAGAAAGGTTCTTAGCTGGGCCAGTTTCAATAGATAACCTTATTAGAGCAATCTAATACAGAGAAGCTGGGCTGGACTCTTCGGGCTCCATGTAAAAACAAAAGAAAGGTTCTTAGCTGGGCTGGACTCTTCGGGCTCCATGTTCCCCGTTTAGGTTAAACGAAATCCCTGCCACGGGCGACTCCTTTAAAAAAGCTCTTTTCCTCACCGTCACCGACCCAAGTAAAAGAACGGTGAATTTCAGGCCGTTGCTCTCTTCCTCTGCGTATATTATAAACCAGACTGAATATACTTTGCGGGGCGGACCATCTTTAGCGATAGGAACAGCATAAAATATTTTGTCAGTTTCTATTTGCAAACACAACCTCTTATCTTTTCCTGTTTATTAGGTTTGTACTGTCTTAGGTTTTTAATCTTCAAACGAAGCGATGGGGAGAGCCAAAAAAGGCCCTAAATTTGCAAAAATGAAGAAGATGATTACCTCTAAAGCAATTAAACAGTGAGCACTTCTTTCTGTAGTTCCCAGGATCTGACCTGTTGATTTTAGCTCTCTGTAACTTTCTTTATTAATTATTATTTTTTTATTTAGACATAAAGAGGAGGTTTTGAATCCGAAGAAAAAAGATTTGTCCCTCGAAAAGCTTCCAAGAAATGTGTAAGCTTTCATGTCTATCACTGCTGCTGTGATTATAAATTTTCTCGAAGCAAGTATAAAAAGAATTGGAACTGAAGTCTTTCTTTCTTTCTTTCTTTTTCCTCTTTATTTTTTATATAAATAGGCCACAGGTTTCTTCTGCTCTCTTCTTCTCATACAACACAGCTTTGGGGCCCCCATATAGGGTCTTGGTGGACACTAACTTCATTAATTTCTCTATTCAGAATAAGGTGAGTGCTTAATGCAATTGTTAATTGTTAATTCCATCTGATTTTGATTAAAATAGCGATATGGGATTGAAATTTTGGCTCATATAATTTCCTGCTGGTGTTTTGTAGTTGGATTTAGAGAAGGCAATGCTGGACTGCTTGTATGCGAAATGTGAGTTCTTTAGCCTCTTCTTTCTTCTTTTTACTAGCTCTATATTGAATGCTTTTGATTTGAGTAATATCTTAATTGTCCAAGTATTAAGACTGGTTGGGGGATGAGATGAAGCTTGGAACTTCCTTTTACTATTACGTTATTGATATCTTCCACTTTTTTCGATTTTAAGGCACACCTTGCATCACAGACTGTGTGATGGCGGAACTTGAGAAGTTAGGTCAGAAATACCGCGTGGCTTTAAGGTATGGTTTCATGTTTCTGAGTTTTTCAATTTCTTTTCCAGATATGTTTTGTATCAAGACTTAAGGGGGTTGATTGTGTCTGTGGCAGTGGTTTCAGTCTGCTTGTAAATTTTGTTACTTGCAGTTGACATCCACAATGTGTTTCCTTTGCAATTTGGTGACCAAAAACTGGTCCAGTGCTGCTCAAAATTTCATTTGGTTACAGGAATTCTGATGATGGATGTTTGTGTCTTAACAGAATTGCTAAGGATCCACGTTTTGAGAGACTACCCTGTATTCATAAGGGGACTTATGCTGATGACTGTATTGTTGAAAGGGTTACCAAGGTACATTTTGACTATAATATCTTTGTTCTGCTATCCTTGCTGATTGTTGTTTTCTCAAAATGTTATCCACTTCGGAGATTTTTCCAACTTGTCAGAAGGAGTTAGCTGCCATTAGGTAGTTTATTTGAAGTATTAATTAAGAGTAAGGACTCATGGGTTTGGAAGGAAGATAATCTATCATGTTTGTTAAGCTTGGACTGGTGATTTCAAATGCATGGTTTGGATTTTATCACTCAATGAATCAACCCTTTCCCACTAGTATAAAACACACTAACCACTGGCTGACTTATAAGAATAAATCTAACCGTTTCTTTTAAATTCTATGGCTCATATTTAGCAAACATGGGACCTAATGTTGCAAGGAACCTGAGAGGATCAATCCAGATTTATAAATCACGCCATCTTTCTGGCAATAAAAGGAGAAAATAATAAAGCCTCACAATCACAGAAGTTGGAGGAAATTATTCTCTTAAATGTTCATGCCAATATGTTTTTGTTGTTCTATTAAAAACATCGATCTATTACTTGGAAAAATAAGCTTGACAATAATGGCCATAGGCAAGGAATATAATCCGTTCTGTGACTGTATTTGAAAGTATTTTACTTTGTTTTTTATATGCTGAAGTATTATCAATGACACAGCCTTTCATGTTGATTCCTTTGTGCACATTGACATTATCCAATGTGTTTTTTGAATGTAACTAACTAGATCATTTGTGTGGGAACAGCATAAATGCTATATTGTTGCTACATGTGATCGAGATTTAAAGCGAAGAATCCGCAAGGTATCTTCAAGTGAATAATCTTTTGCTATTCCTTTGAAATGAAATCTGTTCTGATCTGAAGTTGCTTGTTTGCTGGCAGATCCCTGGTGTGCCAATCATGTACATCACTCAACACAAATACTCAATTGAGCGGTTGCCTGAAGCAACAGTAGGTGGAGGTAGGCTCCTGCGACTCGTGTTTAGTAGAAATTTTATTTGATAATGCTCTGATTTGATTAGACTGACTTCTGTGTCTTTCTGTTGCAGCTCCACGATATTGATAACTTTCAAGATTGGGAGAACAGAGGATTTTGCTTGATGCTCTTGAATGTCATTTATCCTACCATATGGAAATATGGTTGAGATCCTTTACCATATGGTGGCTCTTTTTTAGTGTAGTTCTTTCCAACCTCGAAATGAGGGTTGAAATTTTGTTGTTTCTATAATTAGAGGAAAATCTTCACAATATGTAACTGTTTTTAGCTTTGCTCCTTGTTTCATTATTATATATCACGCTTGCAGTCTGAATTATGCTTCAACCCCTCTCAAACTTGGCCACTGAAGCCTTGCTGTTTTACTGAATTTGATGGGTGGTCGAATTGTCTTGTATTCTCACGCCAATGCATTTATTCCCCGTGAATTTGACCGCCACCAAGCCAACATTTTTTATGCAGAAGATAAGGACTGATGATTTATAATTATATTTAATAGTTAATGCAACAACATGAAAAACACTGAACAAAGTTCTCAGACCAAGCCGAATATGGAGAGGGGGGGGGGGGGGGGGGGTGTTTGTTTATTTGCCGAAAATCACACCCAGATGATTTAATGGTTAATATCAGTTTGTGAGTTTTTTTAATTTTTAATATTTTTTTAATATAACAAAAAATATATTCAGATGATAAAAAAATCATTTAATATTGTTATTAAATTCAGCTCAGTAGTTTTTCAATCTAATTTCTTGTGTAACTTGAGTTAAGAATTAAGTTAAGAATTAAACAGCGTGGGAGTTGATCAAAATTTAAGGATAAAATTAATAGATAAAAAAAATATTGTAAATCAATATCTTACTTAGTTTGAGTTCAAAATTAAACTAGGCAAAATTTGTCTTAACATAATACGGCTTACTTGGTCACTTGATCAATTCAAAGGTAAATGGCAAACCAATAAAAAAATTCTGAAGATAAAATAGAGAAAAAAATAATGATATAAACATGAAAAAAATATCTACCCAAATATTTTTTTAATTTAGATTTAAATTAAATCATGTAAGAGTTGTTATAATATGATATTATTGGCTTGGTTTCTTCAAAGAAAACTCTGATAATTGTTAAAGAAATCTAATGATAAAAGTAGAAAAAAAATGAAAGGAAAGGAAATAAAAAAAAAAGTGTTGAATTAAAAACATCAACAGCTATAGAAATAATCATTACTTTTTTAGATAATATCTTGTTTTTGTCTATTTCATATACTTCTAAATAAATTCATTTAATAATTACTTTACATCTTTACATAAGTCATGTTTGGCGAAGAAAATAAATAAAGAATTTGAACAACAAAACAACATGTATTAAATTTATTAAAATAAAAAAATAAAAATAAAACTAGTTTACCTTAGAAAGAGAAAAAAAGATTTTAGATTCATTCCATTTCCTCCATTTTCTCCAAAACCAAACATATCTCCACTTTTATTTTGGTAAGTCAAGAAATTAATTGTTTTTAAAAGAAATGGACAATTTTAAGTACAAATCACACAACAAGGTTTATTAAGAAAATCCACCACTATTTTATTTTTTCAACTTTTTATCTTGTATAATGATATCAACAGGTGAAAACATGAACTATTAGCTAATGAATTAAAAAAAACAATTAATAAATTATTGAAAAATGACAACTCAATTAAATTAAAATAACTGGCACTCTAAAATTTATCGTGAAGATGCTATGATTTGTTAATAGAGTGTGGTGACAGAACAAACTCGAGTTCTCCAACAAGAATAAATATTGGTGTTTCTGTCAGTGTGGTAAAGAATTTTGATAGTTAACGCTCGAGGATAATGCCTGCGGTTGCAGCTGCTGTCCTGCCTAGAAGATGGTGAACGTGTGATCCTTGTAGACTGTCGTGTGAGTATTTAAATTACACTGTTTGTCTTGCAAGAAAAAAAGAAACCAACAGGCTTCTCTCGTCTTCAGTATGGATTGGAACAGTTCTATAACTGGCAATCAGGGCCATGGTAAATGTCGGAAATTCGAAAGAGAAGTCTGGAAATTACAAATTCTCCCACGTTTTTCTGTCATGAACGCAACAACTTCTACAATGGGGTGTGAAGAGATTGAAAAGAAAAGGGAAAATTAGTATACACACTCATCAACAACACTAACAACGTAGGATGCAGCTATTTACATACAAACCCCTTCGTACAAAAGATACAAAAGCATGCATCCTATCTGCCAAATGAATTAACTGTAGAGGAAAAATCAACAATAAAAGAATGATCAAACTAGACCCTACCTCCAATGCTGCCCAGCCTGAACTTAATGCTACAAAGATTCCGACACAGACACTGTAGAGTTTGAATTTTCTATGTCCTCTGGTGGGGGCTTCACGTATTTCCCCAGCACTGGTTGACGGCGTTTTTTCCTCATTCTTTGTTGTTTGTCCTTGCTTTGCTGTCTCCTCTTCTCTTTCTGATGATTCCGCAGATTTCTCTCTTTCTCAAATAATCCTTGCCATACAACCTCGCCTGTTGATGGCCATAACCATCTTCTCCTGGGCTGATCAGAATCTGCCTCTTCAGCCAAGTCCTCATCCATGCTCTTAAGAATGCTGTATGAGAACGATTTGACCCAAATATTGCCTCTGCGACTGTTGACTGCATGCTGCTCTTGCATCAAGCCACTCTCAGGGTTCACGTACACCATCTGCCTAGCACTGTGGTATGCCCAGACATTTATAAGCAGCTCAAGAACCCGTGAGTAGCAATGCTTATCCTGCAATACATTTAAAAAAAATAAAATTGTACGTGGTTGTAAAATGGTCTCAGAGCTATCTGTACAATTTGAGGGAACCTAGGATGACTACTTGACTGTTCCAACAGCATATCTTGCAAACAATAATCCCCCACAAAAATAATTTGCAAGTCAATTATTTCACACACCAAGTGACCCAACTTGATGGCAGGGTCAATTGGACGGTTGTAGAAGTAACTTTGACATTTTATTCATAATGAGCTTGAAGAGTAAACTGAGCTTCAGTGAAACTGATGTCTACCACTTTGGGTGGGGGGTCCTTCAAATAAACCCATTGAAAACCTTGATTTCAATCATAATAGTGTGGTCAAAAGCGAGAAGCGCCCTACAGCGTCAAGGCTGTCCAATGCCCGAAGTGCAAGGTGCATGCCTAAATAAAACAAGGCACAATGCTATAAATTCAAATAATATATATATGTTAAAAATTAAGATTAGAAAATCAACGAGAAACTCAGAATATTTTAATTTAGTCATAGAAAGTTATACTATTCATCTTTAAAAACAAAATAAGACAATTAAAAGAGCAAGTGGATTAAAATAAACTTAAAATGCTTAAGTTTGGAATAAACTAGGATGATTAAAAAAACAATAAACACGACAAGAAAAAAAAATCAGTTGTGAAGTTTGAAACTCAAGTTTCAAAAACAATAAGCACATCTAGAAAAAAAAAAGCAATTGAAGTTTGATGAGTGATGAACTTGGGATTTGAGAAATATTATTTATTAAAAAAAAAAAGTAAAAATTGCAGCAGCATAAAACCATGGATATTTAAAGAGACAGAAAGAGACAGGTAAAGAAGAAATAAAATTGAGAGAGGCCACATAAGTTAAGAAGAAAAAAAAATTGAAGAAACAAACAAAAAGATGTACCTGATTCTTTGGAAAAGCATGGCTGCCAAATGTGCCTACAACTCTATTTTGATGATCATTTTTTCTTTTTAAACACTACTTTTTACTTTTACAACTACACCCTTAAATTATTTTTGGTGTTGACTAGAAAAAAAATGAGCAAATCAGTCAAAACACATCAATTAAAAAAAAAAAGAAAAAAGAACATATATTTTGACCAAGCGCTTGCTTCAGGCCGAGTGCTTGCACTCCAGGCGAGCTAGTTAAATTGCCTTGCCTGTAAAAATAAAAGGTGCTTGGGTCTTGCCTCACCTGGAGCACCCAGGCCCGAGCCTCAGTGCCTCTTGGCAACACTGCTTATAATAGCATCCAAACAAAATTCCAATAAGGGACAAGTTTCATGCGGGCAATAACAGAAAACTCAAAAGTTACCTTAGCTAGACTCAGATAACATCGTCCACTTTGATGGTGCTCATCATACATCTGCGCATCCAGTGCATCCACAAACATTCTGCACTCAACAGTTCAAATCAGCATCTGAACCAACTTATGCTTGAAATTTTTGAATTACCAAGTCAGCAGGAACAACTTATCACACCTTGAAAACATTACAAACTCTAGGAAGGACCTTGTTGGCAAAGCAAAACTCAGCATGACAGACCATGTATCTCCATCTTGAGGCATGGGTGGCAAAAATTCCAAATCATGCTTGATGCCATACATCCTCTTAAGAGCCTCAGAAAAAGCTAACCTTCAACCACCAACAATTAAAAGGTGGAATCAGCTAAAAAAATTAAACGGAGAAAGGAGTGAAATTTTCAAGATTTTCATAATAAATCTTGAGATAAACAAGCATGGCTCTTACTTGCAATTTCCAGCATTTATAGCATCACAGAATGACCAAAAGTCGCTCTGTAAGTCGTTTCTTGGATCCATGTCCATGCGAACCCAAAAGTAAAGTGAGTCCCCATGCTTTTGTGATTCTATAGCATCTACCAATGCCTTTTCAGCAATCCTAGACAAAGATGCCTATTTATACCCCACAGTAAGATATAGTCCATTATATGCATGAAATAAATTATGAGATCACATTCGTTTAACTTTGACTTGCTGCCATTCCATAAATCAAGATCCCAAGGAAATAAGAGCACTGTTCTTTTATTTAAGAATAAATTTCTAAAGGTTATAACAATAAACTCATTACTTCCATAGATGACAGAACTGAAATGGTAACTACTCATAGTTAGGTAATGGCAAGAGGAAATTAGGGACTAGAATCTCAGAAAACCTTCCATCAATCTAGCTCATTTCAAAGTAAAGGCAAATCACGCCTGTAGCTATAGTTGCATGGTATGCATCGATTAATCTGTTCAGCCACCACATGAACTCAAAAGCTTCATGGTTGAAAGTAACCTTGCGTTAGCCAAATTTTACAGTAGAACCAAATCTATTAATGTTCTGCCAAGATCAGTCTGAATGACCAAAAATGCAGAATTAATTGAAAACAGCATGTAAGGCAGAGCAAACAACATTAAACGAAAAGAACATAGGGTAGACAAGAAATAGGGAATCATTATATACCTTCCTTGCCGTTGCTCTCCAAGATTGAAACCCTATCCAGGAATTCTTATGAATACGGTCAATCCGATTTGCGATTGCAAAAAAAGCTCCATATTCACCTAGGGCATCTCGGTAGTATGGCTTGCTAAGAAGTGATAGACGGGAGGGGGCATCAATGTCATCTGTCCTGGGCCTTCGACCTTTCGTGGACTGCAACCATTGTCAGTGTGTAAAAACAGGCAGGAAAGATAAAAACCTCTTTTATACAAGTTCCATCAAATTTACAAGTTCTCTAGCTAAAAGCAGAAGTATAAAGCAAGACCCATAGAATAGAAACTGGAACATGGTTTGGTTACAATTGCAAACGAGCATGCAACTAAGGGCTTCAAATTCCTTCAATGCAAGCCAGCAAGTGCCAACCAAAATCGAATCGTGTTGCCGGTAAAACACACCATATGGTTTGGTTATATGTACCAGTCTTCAAATTCATTAACTATAAGAAGATGAGGTAAAAAACACCATGATGCTAGGCAATATGCAAATAAGCTTACAGATACATAAATAAAGATATTATTCAAAGTGAGTTACTGCCCATTTACCTTTTCCTCAACTTGCTAAATGGCGAAGAGATTAAAATTGGAAGTTCAAGCAAAAAACACCGTTGGAAAGTAGAATCTTTAAACTTGGCATAAAAGATTTTTTTCCCATATGCTACATATTAAAGGAAGGTGGTGTCTATCATGTTGGGAGCAATCATCAGATCGAACACAAAAGTTAACTTAAAGAAAAACAGAGAAAATGACATGGGTTATCTGGATGAAATACAGAGAAGCAAACTCACCAATCCTACTCCACGATAAAGCGAACTTAGGTGAAGAAAAGACCAGGCTCCTTCCCCAAAATACGGTTCATAAATGCATAATGGTTGCCCTGTCCTCAAAAGTTCTCCTTCATCCCTTTCATGTAAATCATTCCTGGAACGATCAGCCCTTTTGGCACTTTTATACACATCCTCCCATGTTCCATGAGGTTGATCAGTTCTATCTTTTAGCTGCCAAATATCCCAAGGGTCAAATTTTACAAAGGATGCACTTCAAGAATGGAAGACAAGAAGACCCATCCAAAATTTACTCTTAATAAATTATCACTGCACAAACACTTACCTCTTCTTCCTCTCTTCTCTTTCTAGTATTGAGCATCGTAATATTTCTCTCTTCCTCCCAGATGTCATATGAGAATGAATCATTAGTAGCAGCTATGGAACCAGAGCTCTCTTTTTGCATATAGTTCCACTGCTCCTCGACTGTTTTTAAATATCTGAAACTTTTCAAAGTTCTGTCTTCATGCGTAGAATTCATAAATGCTTTAAACAGATGCCAGCACCACTCTTTTTTCAGTTTTGAAGGAATTTCTGAAACAGCCTTAGGAGGTGCGACTTCTGATGGAAGCTCAACAACATTTTCAAGTAGTGTAGCGTAGCCTTCAATAGTTTCTAGAACCATGAGGTTTTTAGCAGTCTTTTTTCCTATTGACGCGATATTACGGGCCAGAGGTGATAATGTCCCTTTGGAGATCGCTTGCAATACAATCTGTGTCAAAACCTTGAGGTTTTCCTTGGGAAAAAGATAGCCATTCACCCTGTCATCAACCTAATAGTTATTGCTAATACAGTCAGTAGTTTGCTTAATAAACATAGGTGTGTAACAAGAAAATGATTCACAATAATGAAAAATAAAAATCTGATACCAATAACATTTTATCAATCATTGTGTATTTGGTATTTCGCAAAATTCCTGACAATAAATTGTTAATGCCAAAAATTATGAACTGCTAGTTTCCAGCGCCACTAACTTCAAAGAAGAGCAGTAGCTATATTGAACTGGACAAAACTTATTTCTCATTGTAAATTTACTGGAAGAGGGTTAATCTCAAAAAAAGAATATGATTTGATGAGGTAGCAACAAGAATTATTAAAGAATGTTCCTGATGTGACGATAAAGAAATGATTGGATTCTACATGGGGGTATTGAGATAATGATTGGATTCTACATGGGGGTATTGAGATGAGTGACTTGTAAGATTATATAAAGTAAAACAAATCAGGAAAATGAATAAGTTATTGCTCTGGTGAGGAGAGGCAATCTAATTCATAGAAATACAAGGTCAGAATAAGACTCATAAGAACTCGGGTTTAGACTATGAATAAGACCTGATGGGTTTATTCATCAAGATAATTGTGCCTTAATAGAGCTGAAAAAAATGAAAAAACAGAAAGACTAGTGATCCACCCGATGTAATGAAGAGAGTGGTTGAGTTGATACCACTCAGGAATATGAGATCATCTTTCAAATCATCCATTAAATCAATGTACCTTGTGAATTCAATCTGCTGGTGCATGAAGACTGAAGATGAGAAATCAGTGAGGCTTACATATTTCCTGATCATGGAGAGATCTGGGGTTATGATGGGTTTTCCAATGGACATGGCTTTCACCAAAATTTCAGGAAAAGACTGCTCCTCGAGGAAAGATCCATATATCACAATATCAGCTGCACCGAGGGGACTGCCCACATCATCATCGACAGCAAAGTGCTTTACAGTACCTTTTGGATAACTCAAGTTAGCAGCAATAGCCTGAGGAAACAAAGAGATCACAGAAATTGGCATCTATTTTCAAATGTAAGAACTCTGCAGGCAAGCATCAAAATCATACCTCAACAGCCGCACTGTAGTTGCCAGTAGGATCCCCACTTAAAATAATGATTTTGAGATGAGATTTTGAATTATTATCTAATGAAAATTCTGCAAAAAGTGGCAATAGAGCCTTCAAAACAAGTGCATGCTCCAGCCACAAACCCCTGTACAAAAATTGACTTCCCACAATTGCAATGACAATGTCATCGGGCTCATAGCCCCTCTTCACATGTATTTCATCATTATACAACGCCATTGTAGTTTCTGTTTCCCATATATCAGCAGGAGAACCAGGAATAACATAATAGTTTCCAGTGTCAAATGCAGAGTACATCATCTGTTTGAAATGCAGAAATGGAGATAAATGTCAACTTCAGCTCCAATGTTAATAGCATGAGTATGAAAACATCACAACACAGTCATGTTACAAAACATTAAGTTGCTTATTGCTATATGTTGGATTATTGTTTTTTTTTTTTAATATAGATGAGATTTATTGGGGAGTTTCATTTTATCATTTTATTTGAAAGTCCAGATTAATCCCATGGAAATTTCAGACAGTGTCCATAAGGTGAGGTTATATCGTAGCTGATTACCGGAAGGACATGATTTGGGAAGACAACTACTGTAGCCCGGTTGAAAGCTTTTCTCCAATCATGCAGAAGCTCAATTTGCCAACTTGAAGTGTACTGTCTAGAATGAGTAGCGAGTGTTCTTTCATTGATGGTCCATATAAGAGGCACAGACTTGAAAGGTTCCTGCATAAAACTGTTAAAAGTGAAATCATTCATGTTAATTGAGTCACACAAATAACTTCTCGCATAAATTAACAAAAGTACACACAGCTCCTGTCCTCGTATATATACTTCAACTAGAACAAAGTGACAAAGTTGTGCCCCAAGTACGCTAAATATCAGGCAACACACTGAGCATTTTAATTTGCATGGGCAATCAAGTCTCAGGCATAGGGCGATTATGATTCTAGGGTAAAGACAGCTCTCTAATCATTACAATACTAAATAGGCTCATTTTTAATTGACTGCTAATGAAAGACTAATCACATAGGACTGCCCAAAATAGTAGAATTAATTGAAAAGAAGAAAAGGATTGAAGAAAGCATTATTTTTTGAGGCATATCTTTCATTTGAAAAAAAGATGGTAATTCATCTTACCAAGAGAAGACACTCTTCGTTTCTAAAGAATTCACAAGTATGCCATCATAGCTGCAAAAAGAATACATCAAAATTAGATGCAACCAAAAGCATCCAAATCCAATGACACGGAACATGCTTGATTAATTTCAAAAACAAAAGACAGCATATTTAAAAGTTCATCATGTTTCTGAAAGGCAGTAGAGTGCCATGCATACTTTAGCCAATCAACAGCAATCTCCATTTTGTGGCTGATTTGGATGATGTTAACTGGAGATCTCATGCTCTTCCAAATGCTTTGCGCAGGACCATCTACTAGTGAATAAACCTGCCAGACAAATTCCAATAAATTTGATGCAAAGAATTGAGAAGAATGGCATATCTTTGAAATTCGCTTTGCAGCTTAAGGGTACTTGAGAATTGGGGTAAAATTGCATATAAAAAGAAAGATGCACAAGTTTTGGTCGAGCAATTCACTTTTTTTTTCACACACTCGACAAAACAATTCAAGTACCAAAATACATACATGAATTGGTTAGCCAATCTCTTGCAATGCGGTAGCACCAGTCACCATTAACAGCTGGTGTGGATCAACCAACAGATCCGCAAATACCTATATTAAAAAACACTATTCAGACCACAAGTCAACCCCACAAAAAAAATTTAACAAAAGGAGAACAGTGGATTAGTAAAGAGTAGTGAGAACTAACCAATGCAAGCTGGGGTTTCCTATAAGGAAAACGACTTAATGTCCTGTTACTAAATGACATATTCATCTCTCTATTTTCTTTTCGAAAATTTTGTAATATCTTCGAAGGTTGGAACTTAATATCTTCACCAAAATCTAACCCACCAATCTCCTTCAGATACCACAAATCCTTATCAACCAATTCCATTCCTCTCCATGGAGAAGAACCTAGTTCAGATTTCTCAACTACAGAACCAGGCAAAAACATCTGAAAGAGAACTACAAAGAAGAGAAAAACAGCAACAGTACAAATCCATTGAATGTAATCTAACTTCTTGAAACGCAAGAAACGAGAAAAACTTGATCTGGGTCTATACAAAAAGGGGTGTCTTTCAGTTCTACCAGCTGAATAAGAACGAATGAGAATGTTTTTGTCTCTTTTGAAGGAGATTCCTCCCGTCTCTAATGAACCCATTTAGAGTTCCACCAAAAAAATCAACTCTTTGCCTCCTCTGTAGAGCGACATGCAGATAAGCTAATCGATGTTGAAAGAGAAAAATAAACACGCAGGGCAATGCAAAATGCTTCTGAGTTGAGTAATAGCGAGGCGGATAGGGAGACTGAAAGGTCAGGATGGGTGTTGGCTTTGTTTTTCTGTCGTTATCAACGTGAGCTGGTTTTAGTGCTGTGAGGGACATCGATATATAGTACTGAAAAATCTTACAAATCTAATATCCCTCAATATTATAATGATTGTCTTAAAACATAAAGATTTTTCATTTCTTTTTCTTAATTTAATTACTAGCAACATAATAAAAATAAAAATTATTACAGCAATAATAATGAAAAAAATGTTGATAGTTTATTGTAGGGATACGAAAGCCCCGAAGGAGAAGGGATTTTTCCCGAGAGTTAAAAAAAAAAAAAAAAAAAAGAGGAGCACGGGTGTCGGGATGTTGATATCCTGCCAACCTCACAGGAATCATTTGGTTAGTTTTATATTAATATGCAAGTGACTACTTAATTGACTATATAGTTTGACAATCTGATTTAATTTTGAATTAAGGTCACCCCATCTATAAGTGAAGGAAAGAAAAAGGAGGGGAAATTATGTCCTTCTCCACGGCTTCGAGATGGAATCGTGGCAAGAATGGAAGTATCCAATCATGTTACTGTAATGCCCTGGACATGGTTAAGGGATATTTATAATAATGATAAAAAAAAAAATTAAAATATTTTTTATTTAAAAAAATTAAATCATGGGGTAGGATACCCTTTTAATACCGTGAAAATAAACTTCAATAAAATAGTGATGGCTTCCTTCGAGTAGATTTGTTTTTTATTTTAATATGCATGTGTGTGTGAATAAAAACACATGGATTTAAATAATAATATTTAGAAGATGTTTAAGATTGCAGAACACATGGATTTAAATAATAATATTTAGAGGATGTTTAAGATTGCAGTAACAATTTTTTTTTAAATAATTTTTATTAAAATAATATTTTTATTACTTTTTAAAAATTATTTTTCACATTAATATATAAAAACAAAAAA